AAACAGCGTTCCGTGTCTAACTCACACTGGCCATGTGACCACGGAAGATTGTCTTCGGACAAAACGCTGGCTCTATGGCTTGAAGAGCGGGATGAGCGCTGCCCCCTAGAGTCGGACACGACTGGACAAAAATTGTCAAGGGGAACCTTTACCTTTACTATGCCTCTAAAGCAACAAAGTTTAATATTCTGAATGGATAATAATTGTCTCTCTGCTTCTACTGTCCCTACTTATTTTATTCTCTCCCTGTTTTAGACTTTCCCTCATGCCTCCCCAACTCCCTTCCTGTCTATATTAGAGTTCTCTCTATGCATATATTTTACATAGTTATGTTTCTGCTGTCTGGGAATAGGTCACCAAATGTGCAAATGACCTCATTTTGAACAAATGAGGGAAGGAAAGGCAACAATACTAGCATTTCTAAACAAAAAAAATCATATGTATTAAAATTGAATGAGTCGCCGAGTTTGTTTATGAGACAGTTTAAGATAGGCATGTCCAGTAAGAGTCTGAAGCTGCCTTTGAATATTTTTGCATTTTTCAGAATTCAAAGCAAACCGTATGTCAACACAATTCATGTTCCCACAACAAAAATGGTTTTGTGATGAGATCTCCCTTCCCGCTCTGCTGAAAGTTTTGCTTGTCTCTCACTTCTAAATATATTCCTTCCTGAAAAATTTCAGCCCTACAGAAATGTGCAACACTAATGCAGTGTTTTGAACACTTATATATGCCCCTTTGCAAACTAAAAGGAAAAGAGTCTCACTACACGTACAAACAGTGTGCCTCACATGGAGAGCCAATAGCAAACAGGGAGGCAAATAAGGGCAGAAAACAGGAAACTGCTCAACCTACACATAGCAGCCAAGTCAGAGATTAATTTTGAATTTCTGTACCCCATTCACATTTTTCTGTGGCATCATGATTCTGGAAAATCATGCCCGTTTTTAAACTGTATAATGCAACCATGCAATCTCTGGTTGTAGATCCCAAATGCATCCAAGACAGGAATTCCTACTGCTTCATGACATAGGAAAAATTCCGACTCTCTTCAAATAAAAGAGTTTGGAGGGATTTCTGAAGTTATTCCAATTCTGATCAGTGCAATACAGGATGCACCTACATGATTCCTAATATTAAGTTTATGGCACAGCCAAGCCCATGAAATCATTTATAAAATCTTACAGCCAATTTTGAACACTTACAGATCTTCCATTTCAATCTTCAGAAACCTCAATCAGTTGTTGTTTCTTTACATTTGACTCTTTTAAGTGGGAAATACTAGCTACTGCAAGACTGTCTTTAAAGCTAAACAAAGATAAGGCACTGCTCAAAAAACTCAACTTCAGCATACTCAATGGGTACAGAGAACTTTTCAAAATGTTCCTGCTGCTCCTAATGTGATACACACATTCTATGCTAAGATTTTTCCTACAACTCCAGCGGTAACACACAGAACTATTTTTAAGGGGTAGTATCTACTTTTAGATAGAATACCCCTTCACAGATTGCTGCCTTGTCATGGCAAAGGGGCTTGAGTAATTCAGAGAAGCTATGGGCTATGCTGTGCAGGGACACCCAAGACGGACAGGTCAAAGTGGAGACTTCTGACTAAACACGATCCACCTGGAGTAGGAACTGGCAAGCCACTCCAGTATCTTGGCCAAGAAAATTCCATGGACAGAAACAAAAGGCTAAAAGATATGATGCTGGAAGATGAGCCCCTCAGGTCAGAAGGCGTCCAACATGCTACTGAGGAAGAGTGGAGGACAAGTACAAGTAGCTCCCGTTAATGAAGTGGTTGGGCCAAAGCCGAAAGGATGCTCAGCTGTGGATATGCCTGGAAGTGAAAGGAAAGTCCAATGCCGCAAAGAAAAATACTGCATAGGAACTTGGAATGTAAGATCTATGAACCTTGGTAAGTTGGATGTGGTCAAACAGGAGATGGCAAGAATAAACATTGACATCCTGGGCATCAGTGAACTAAAATGGACGGGAATGGGCGAATTCAATTCAGACGATTACCATATCTACTATTGCATGCTTTAAAATGTAACATATGAGGTAAATCTGGGTATGTGATTCTGAAGCTATTTGCTCCTATACACAACCACAAACCACATCCTAAAATTCTCAAGTCTCCCTAAAGGATGTGTAGTAAATAAAGTTTATTGCTCATCTGCTATAATGGCACAGCTCCAGAATGCCTACAGTAAACAGTACACTGAAAGTAAGGAATGAGACGACCACAGTGATTCTATTTAGACTATGTCTAGATTGCACACACGGCAAAAAGTGAAAAAGCAAAGACTTCTAATTATGATTGAAGCTGTTTTAATGTGACTAATTGATTTGCACTCAGTTAAGGTAGGGGGCTTTTCCTTCTAAAGACTGTAGAACAACCATCTTCTCTCTATACATATCACTGTTTACCCTTTTCCTGTTTTTTTCCCTTAATAATAGGCATGAGAAGAGAATAAGAATTATTGTTAACACATTGTTCAAGGCAGAAACAAACCTTTCAAGCTATAGTTGTTCCAACAACATTACATGTACTCCCATCAGCTACTACCATACTGACATTACCCGATTTGGAGACATTTATAAAACAATTTCTGCTTTACTTAGTAACTGTGTGGGGAGGTGCTTAATAAGACATTTGAAAACATCAGTTAAAATGTACTTGCTACTTTCTGCAGCAATCAGAGCTTTAAAAATAACATTAAAATGACAAATGCTGCAAGCGACATGAAAGCTGCTTGAGGGTCAGCCTCCTGTCATTAAAGAGTATTGTACAGATATATACAAAATTTGGCAAAACAATTATGCAATTACTTCAGCATGTTTACATCACTTGTCCAACCCTTAAATTATCTCACCATGTTTTCAGATATGGGCTGAGTCCACAATATTCACAGGTTCACACATGCCAACCACACAGTGGCTGAAATTCTGTTGCACAGTTATGCAAACTGAGTAACTTTCAGATGCAAATTGCTGTAAGTGAGGAAATCTCCATGAGCATTAGCTATTGCATGCCAGGTTATGAAACTTAATATGAGCTTTCTTTAATTAAGGCAACTTGCTCCCAAAAGTTGTGCCATTTGCGTAACTGTGGAACAGGATTCCAACCAAAGTGTCAAGTTCTGTACAGATCCATTTGAAACACATTTCAAACATGTCAGTTTCTTTATATAAGTTGTCTTCATTGTTACAGGGAGGAACCCCACTAAATTACTTGAAAAAACTACCCTTCAAAAATATTATTTGCCTGATAAGGCAACTTTTACAATTGGCATAGTAAACAGCTTTTGCTGGGAAATGATTAGTCATAAGCAGAAATATGATTGCTCATCTATTACACACTGCAGATATATAAAGAAAGCTGCAATCAGTTACTGTTTACTTGGCGAAAGTGTATTCCTTTCAATCAAGTGTTGTTCTTTTTTGAGCTATGCAAATAATAAAATCAGAGATAAGTTTAAAAGACTGACATTCTGAAATATAATAACATATACTCTTGCTTTGTCAAACAGCTTTCCTAATACTTTCTATGCAAGGAACCTACACTCCTATCAAAAATAGTTGCTAATGAAACAGGCACACACTTCGAGAAAGCTTTTCGCTCCTGTTTGCAAGCTCACATAAAGTTGTCCCTGGAGTCTCATTTGATGAAGCATACACATTACAAGTCAATTTTTGCCCTGTCTTGTCTGTTTATTTGAATTTGTCAGGAATGATGTGATCAATGTTGTGTTGCCATAGCAACAGCACACTTCCCCCAAAATTGGTCGCAGGTATAAGAGGAAAAAAGAAAGTCTGGGAAGAAGCTGTCTTATTTCTTAAGTTTCTCTCCACAGCATCCTCACAATTAAATATTTTTATTTCTGAAATCTGTACTAGTGGGGTGTGATGGAATTTATCAAACTAGCCCTCCATATGAATAACAGAAAGGAAAGTTTTTTTCTGGGCTTTAGACTATCACAGAAACGAGCCATTCAGTTCAGAGTAGACCATTGGTCTAGATGGGCAGGGTATAAATCTAATAAAATAAATAAATAAATAAATAAAAACAAATGGAAATCAAAGGATTTGGAAATCCTACACAAAGTCATCCTAAGCTGTTGTCTTTATTTAGAAACAAAGAGGTATGTGTGCCCATCCCTGGAGACAAGACAGGAATTGCTTCTTAAAGTTAGAAACCAACAACTAGAGCTGAGATGAAAAGACACAGAACAGGTTTAGTGTGATGGGACTTTAAAACATCCATCCCCAGGAGGGCCATGATCTGCAGAAGACGTACGGTCTACTCCACCTTCAATTGGGTAACATTAGGATAAACTTCCCCCCCAACTCCCCGCAAATAGTGTATCTATAGTGACCACAACCCTAAAGCCCTGGTGAAGATGCGAGCTACTACGTCCACAGTGGATGCCCGTCACTGCAGCGTGCACTGGGAAGCTACAGCCAATCCCGGGTTCCGGCTGCACAAACACACAGCAGGACATCCCACGTGTAAAGCTGCCACCCATTCGGGTTTACCCTCCGATGGAACACCTAATTCCTACGCGAAGCATTTCCTGCGCGGAACGCGTGAATCCCGTCACGTGCGAAGCGGCTCCAAAGCAGCGGGGGGAAAAACCCGCGGAGCCCCCGGCATCCGACAAGCCAAATGTCGCGGCCCCGCCGCTCCTTTTCTGTTTACACTTCTAGGAGGCAGCGGGCGAAAGCCGCTCCCGCTGGGGCCCGATGTCAAAGCTACGCACACCGGCCTGATGCGAGGGTCCTTGGCCTGAAGGCCCTGGCGATGGCACTTTCGGAAGCGAGCCGCCCTCTCCCGAAAGCCCTGAAAATAAAGCAAACGCTGGGAGAGCAGCGGTCCAGAGGCAGCTTGGCTTCGGAAGCCTCCTCCAGGGAAAAGCACGGCGCCCAAAGCCCTTGAGGGCAGCCGCTCTCCCTCCGCGGGGAGGGGAGGCCGTTAGGCCGGGTCCCTTACTCACCATGTACAGCGTGAAGGGGAAGCCGAACAGGAAGAGCCACAGGTAGAGGTGCAGCGCATTCACCCCGGCGCCCTGGTGAGGGTCCTGGTACCAGCCACCGCTCAGAGCCGCCCACACGCCCTGGCGCAGGATCTGCAACACCTGGGAGCCCATGGCGGCCTGGCCCGAGCCCAGGTCCTGCCAGCCCCGCTCTCTCCTTCTTTCTCTCTCTCTCTCTCTCTCTTTCTCTCCCTCTATCCGCCCCGAGAGCCCGGGCACAACCGCCCGCCGCCTCCTCCACAGCCCGAGCCTCCCGACAGCCACAGGAGCCGCCACCCCCTCCTCCGCCTTCTTCTCCTCCTCCCCCCCGTCAGCGCCGCCGCCATCTTACGTCCGGGCCCCGGGCCGCCCGCCCGGCTATAGACCGGCAGCCCTTGCGGCAGCCGCTCCGACCGCATTCCCCATGCCTGATTCCTGGTTCTCCCCTCCTTACGCGCCGAGGCGAGGAAGAGGCAGCGGGGGAGGAGGAGGACGCTGAGGCTGCAAAGAGCGGCCCCTCCGCCTCGGAAGGCGAACGGATTCTCACGCTCGCCCCCCAGCGAAGGCTCGGACGGGCCTTCAGAGCGCAGGCCGACGGAGCGCTTGTCGTTTAGGATGGGGTCGGGATCCTTGCAGAGCGCTTTGGGAGCAGAGCAAGGGTGGATGGAGGAGGACCAGTCTCTTTCCCCCCCCCCTCGGGACCTGAGAGCAAGAGCTTTTTGCGTGAACGCCGTTGCCCAAACACGCGCCTTCCGTGATTTCTGGAGGGTCGGCTAGATTAGAAAGCCGCGCGGGACTTATCCCACGGCAAAGCCGGCTCTTCCATCTCTGAAACATAGGTGGCCCTTAAGTGCCTGACCATTCCCCTCTGCCCAAGCGAGCGTAGCTAATAGTGAGATGATGGGCCTGGAGGGCCGCCACTGTCCGCCCCAACGTAGGTAGGCTACTAGTAGTGACGACTGTGTTAGTTTCAGGACCAAAGGATGACCTCGTGTCAGTTAACAGCCGCCAAAATAACTTTCTAGGCAGAAAAGGGTTCGACAGAGAAAATGCGGTGGATCCCAATTGTATCCGCTGTTTCTTTAGAAAGGTGGGCTAGAAATGCGGACTACAACAGCGGATCTCTTGGATTACTCGTAAAACTAGCGTCTTAGTAAAACTACAGTATTTGTGTCGCACCTCCCCTTTTTTACTCTGATGGGCGCTTCCTGTACATGAACGTGTTACTTGATGAGTTCCACGAAGGATTTAGTTGCCTTCGCCCGGCAGGCATTTGAGAAGACTTATAACGCGATGCGTGAAACCGCATTCGCCACAATTTTTTTATTTTTTTTTAGCTGAGGAAGAGATTTGTAGATCTATCTCAAATGCCTGCCGGGCGAAGGCAACTTATATATATATATATTGGCTGAGGAAGAGATTTGCAGATCCAACTTGCAATCCCATGCACCGCATCCTAGGAGCAAACCCCATTGACGGTAGTAGAACTTACTTCCCAATAAAGGTTATTTGCATTTACGCACTTGGGAAAACGAGTCTGCATTTTCATTTGACGGGCGTGAAGGCGAACGAGTTTGGAGTCTACATTAGGATGGGGGGGGAAGAGTTGTGGGCGGCCGATTGCCGAAGAATAGCTCCCTTTTCTCGCGGGATTGCTTCCTTCCGCGACAACCCGGGAGAGCGTCGCTATCACCATGGCAACGGGGCCGCCCAGCGTCGCTGGAAGCGTTTGTGGTGCCCGCCTTGCTTCTCGAGTTGTTCTGTCGTCGCGGCGCTGGCGAAGCCCGGCCATTCTCCAGGCAACCGAAACAGTGGCAGCTCTCGGCTCCATTTTCTGATCCCTGAACAAAGAATTAGTTTCCCGTGTCGGGCAACAAGCGAAAAGGTTGTGTTACAAGGTTGAAAGTATCCATTCGCTGCTGTTGTTGACTCTGGGGAGGTGTAGTCCTAGGATATCAACGATCCTTACAGTAGGATAATGTAGCAGAGATGAAATATAATACAGTGGCAATTTGTTGCATACAGTCTCAGAGGATGCAAGTATGGCAGCTAGATATTAAGAGTTTTCTTGGGGAAAGTCAGGGAATCCTGCCCTGGTGCTACAACAGAAGAGACCACAATAAATAATAACAGAAATAACTAGTTCAAGAGTTTGTATATGCGAGAGGGAGAGACAGAGATGTTAATTCCTGTAAGGAAAACCATTTACACCCAAGATCAATGGAAAAAACACCCTGAGGTCACTGCACAATTTAAACATAAATGGTGGGTTAGAAGGGGGGGGCTAGAACTAGCATTCCCTGCTGTGCCTCTCCTGGGAGGGGCTAGCCAAAATCCCCCAGGAGGGAGGGATGGGGTTTCAAGGCACAGGTTATTGCTGTTTAGTCGTGTCCGACTCTTCGTGACCCCATGGACCACAGCACGCCAGGCCCTCCTATCTTCCACTGCCTTCCGGAGTTGGGTTAAATTCATGTTGGTCACTTCAATGACACTGCCCAACCATCTCATCCTCTGTCGTACCCTTCTCCTCCTGCCTTCACACTTTCCCAACATCAGCATCTTTTCCCGGGAGTCTTCTCTTCTCATGAGATGGCCAAAGTCTTGGAGCCTCAGCTTCAGGATCTGTCCTTCCAGTGAACATTTCCTTTGGAGTGGATAGGTTTGTTCTCCTTGCAGTCCAGGGGACTCTCAAGAGCCTCCTCCAACACCACAATTCAAAAGCATCAATTCTTCAGTGGTCAGCTTTCTTTATGGTCCAGCTCTCACTTCCATACATCACTACAGGGAAAACCATAGCTTTGACTATTCGGACTTCTGTTGGCAAGGTGATGTCTCTGCTTTTTAAGATGCTATCGAGGTTTGTCATTGCTTTCCTCCCAAGAAGCAGGAGTCTTTTAATTTCAGGCCTACTGTCACCATCTGCAGGGATCATGGAGCCCAAGAAAGTAAAATCTGTCACTGACTCCATATCTTCCCCTTCTATTTGCCAGGAGATGATGAGAATACATCCTAGGAGCAAGTTGGATTTAAGTCACACTGGTGACTTGACTCAGACTTGACCTGGGATTTTTTTTTCAATGATTTGGACTGGACTCATGACTCAGAACCCACCTACTTCTCCCTTTTTTCTGGGGGGAAAAGCTTGTTTTTTATTTGGACTTGGGGCTTGGGACTAAAGACTCGGACCCAAAGATTTGCCAACATCCCTGCCAGGAGGTTGTGTGGCTGGTGGAGTTGCACGGCCTCCAACCATGTAGCCTGAGGCAAGGTGTGCAGTCCTAGAGTATCTATAAACCACTAATAATGATAATAACTGTGCACTATTATGCCAGTAGGAGAAGGAAAACTCCAATTTCAAACCTCCACTGCCTTGTGGCTATATCCACTCATGGAAAAGGCTTCAGGAGTTAACCTCGAGGCAAAATCCGGAGCTGGAGTCCCGAAGGCAGCATGTGTCGTTCTCCCAACTCCTGCGACATTGCTGGAACCAGTTGTATTGGCTCTTGCCTTTCCATTGGACCATATCAGCAATGTGGAGAGGGGGGATCTGCTGCTTGGGTAACAGCCTATCCTCCATATTACCTTACCCAGGCTTCATGCTCTGTAGAGGACACTCCTCGATTCAGAGCATGTTACCATAGTCTCTCGAGACTGAAGGATGCCTATGATGATGATGATGATGCCAGTCCTAACCTCTGGTAACTGCTTCCAGGGTTTTCTAGATACATAGTGCTCAGAGTACATTCTTGGTATAGAGTAATTATTTCCTCCTTTTGGGGCACCTTGAGATATTACAGGGTGCCCAAGGCTGCATAGTTTAGTTCTCCTAAGACACACACTCTGGCTCTGCAGCCAGATATCTAACTCGCTAAGCTATCCAGCCAGCTGCTGAGTACTTTATTCCTAGAAAACCATATGAGGATCACCATGACCCCAAAATGACTTTGTAGTATGTAGTTATTTAAAAGGAATACAATGACAATAATGACTGCTTTCATGAATTAGGGATATTTATCATCTGTCCAAGTCCATCTGTAGATTTGTCTCTTGGTATGAATCCATTAAATTGCCTTGCTTTTTTATGTTATACTATATTCTGTCAAATCAGAACTACCTTATAGCAACCGTAATAGGGCATTCAAGGTAAGTGAGGTGTTTAAGAAGTAGTTTTACCATTCCACACATACACATGAGTTTCTGCGACCAAGCAGGGATTTGAACACAGATCCCCTGAGTCCTATTCCCTCACTCTGCCCCCTTACTTGCTTTATTATATCCCATATTTCCTCCAATGGATGAACAGTGGCATACAGACTTCTATATCTCAACAACAATAGCATCATATTTTTTTGTTTATAAGATTTCCCCCCCCAACTTTTGTAACCCCAAAATTAAGAAAACTTAGCTTTGAGGATTCAGCCTCTGGGCTCAGAACACTAGGCCATTAGGAGTCTCTGTTGCATCTGAGCCTACAGGCTCCACCTCCAACAAGGTGTGTTCCAACTGGTTTGTTCAACTGATGTCAGTTCTATAAGGCTCCTGATTGGAGGAAGCTAAGTCCTAATTGGAAGCAGCTCAATCCACAATTGAAGGAAGCCTGTTTACAGAGGCAAAGTATGGGCTGTTTTGTTCTCTCCATGTTCTCAACTTACTTCTGTGTAAAAGACGGCCCTCAATTCCTAGGGTAATGGTTTTAGGAAAATTTAATGTCTTATACATGGAAAAATATGGTAATTGATATACACTATTTCACTGAGAATGGATAAATAAGGTATAGTTGTGCTATGGTATTGGTAATCATAAATAATAACACTCAGGGATTTCAGTAATACATATAAACACCCAGTGTACCATATATACATCACTTTTGTAATACCCACAACAATAGGCAAAGATAGGTTTTATTATCTCTAGTTCCTTCAGGGAGCTCAACCCCAAAAGAAAGGTTTACCTAAGGACAGCTTCTAAGTTTATGGCAAAGGTGGCATTCAAACCAGTACCTTCCTGGTTCATAGCTCAGCCTTTGGGCCATTACATCATGCTTGCTTTTACTGCGGATTATAGTATTCTTGGAAAAATATAAGAGGAAGGTGCAAAAATACGTTCTGTATATTTTTCCCCTGGTGAGTTAAATATTAAAGTGAGTATTAGTTTTGATGAACTCTGAATAAATTGATGCAGACTACATCTCATTAATATGGACTTGAAGAGGAAGCGTGAAACGCTATGGAAACAGCATGCAGATCTGGGAGACCAAAAAAACAGCCTAAATGAAAACTGGTGAACTCGCTGTGGTGCTGAACAGATCACAACTACAGTACATGTAGCTAGGCTTCTAGCAGGAATTGTTTTAAACCTACCTACAGTACCTGTCAAATGTTCTCTTCTCTCCATGTCATAATCACACAGTGTTAGTCTTCTACTGTGTTAATTGAGGTGTCATTAGATTGCCGGAACCAATTCATTAAAACTTCTGCTGGGTAGAAGATTTGCATTTCCACTAAGAAAAATAGCCCAAAATGTTTTCTCAAAGGTTACTAGAAATGTCACTCTGAGCGTTGTCTCCCTGGAAACAAACTTTAAGACAAGACAAACTGTTCAGTGAGTGAGAGAGTAGCCGTATTCAGTTGCTATAAATACCAGCATCATTACAGGGGAGCACCTGGCCTTATTCCTCCACCATAATGTCTTTCATGGTTTCAGCACCAGGTGTGAAGGGTCCTGCTTGCATGTAGGCTATATGTGAGAACAAGAGCCAGATTTTTCCAGAGTTCTTGTTCCCACATAGAGCCTACACATGAGCATAAACATTTCCTTTTCAAACCCAGTGCTGAAACCATGAAGAGGTTGATGGTGAAGAGGGTTAAGCTCTGTCTGCTATGTGTGTTCCCATAACCAGCATTAGTGATGCCTGAAAAAAGTTAGTGTCTACTTCGTATGTGTTGTGTGCACAGACTCTACAAGAATGGCTACAGATCAGTGATTTATGGGAAAGAGGTATAATCTAGCAAATAATATATAGTTCACATTCCTAAATTTGTCTTTGGAGGGCGTTAACTGTTAAATGAGTCAGTGTCTTCCAATATCAAGAATGTGTCCATGCTGATTATTTACTGAAGCCCTTCCTTGGCTTTCTCTCAGATTGTATATGGTATCAAAGCCAGCTTTTGAATCTCATCCATTGGTTTCTGCCTAGAGGAGATAAAGGGTAAATCCTATGTAGCAAATCCTGTCAAGTTATTATATACGTATTTCAGTATGAATTGATAAAATATATTTCTTTGTAAATCTTTATGTAGTTTAAATATAAAGTCCTAGAAGTAATGGGAAGTACCAACTCCAT